ATCACGGGTGTTGCAAGCCACTCCGCCTAGGTCCCTCGCGTGGTAAGTTATAGGGATGCATCCTGCTTGAGGTTGTTGGAGCCTCTCTTTTTTTTCCTTTTTTTTCTTCTTCATTTTTTCATTCTTTATTGCACTTTGTTTCTTTTTTGGGGTTCATTTTCATGTTTCTTTTGTTTATTTTACTTCTTTTTTCGGGTTTCTTTGTTCTTTTGGTTATTATTTTACATTTTTTGTACATGCCAACAATATTTTTCTAATACACGTCTAACATTTTTCCAACACAAATTAAACATTTCTGTAATACATGGTCAACCTTTTTCTATACACATTTTATTACATTTTTCATATACAAGATTAATAATTTTTTTAATACATAGTCAACATTTTTCTATCATTTTTTAAATGCTTGATTAACATTTTTCAAATAAAAATATTAATATTTTTTTAATACAAGGTCAACAATTTTTCTTTACACATTTAATATTTTTCAAACACTTGTTCAATATTTTTTTATATGCTTGATTAACATTTTTATATACATGATCGAAAAAATTCATCATTTTATTAATACATTGTCAAAAAAATTCTATACACATTTGACATTTTCCAACTTATTAACATTTTTAATAATTGTTCAACATTTTTTCAAATGCTTTATTAACATTTTTATCGACATGATCAAATTTTTTCATCATTTTTTAATACATGGTCAATATTTTTTTTCAAATGCTTGATTAACATTTTTATATACATGATAAAAAAATTCATCCATTTTTAATACATTATCAACAATTTTTCTATACACATTCAACATTTTTCCGGACGCTTGTTCAACATTTTCTAAATACTTGTTGAACATTTTTCAAATGTATTTGTAGAGTGTATTTTGTTATATATATTTTCTGTACTCTTGGGAGTATATACTCCCATCTTCAATATACCTCGTATATGCATTGATTATACCCCTTATCATTCTCAATATACTTCATTAAATATTCTAAGATACCTCAATACAAGTTTTGTTGAAAAAAATATCATTTACGACCTACTTTTTGCAATATACCTTTTTCACGTACAAACAAATAAGTATATACGTAAACCTTTGAAAATATGAGGCACACATGATTTTTTTTCATGAAATCCATTTTAAGGTATCTAGTAATTATTAATGAAATATATTAAAAATAATAATAAGCTATAAAAGATTCATCTATGTGGTATATGAGGAGCGAAAGTACGTACTTCCAGGAGTACACAACCATTTTTCTATATATATATATATATATATATATATATATATATATATAGAGAGAGAGAGAGAGAGAGAGAGAGAATATTTTAAAATATAGAGAAAACTATAAAAATAAAGCAAAAAACGAGAACAAAAAACAACAAAAAAGAGATCGTGGCCTACCACACACATGGACCGGGCCATCTTGCTCCCCCTTCACCGAGTCGGAAGCTGAACTCACTGAAGGCGAGATATAGGGGTGCCCCGAGACTGGGAAATAAAAAGACCTACTCAACTGGCCAGTTGGCCTTGGAAAATAAATTAGTATACAATAAAAAAACAATTCTCAATATTCTGGGTGGGCCACAACCACCGTTCCTACACACTGTCTTCGCCAATGGTTGTTACCCGTGAACACATGAGTTTCCGGCAGTGACCACGCCCGGCGGTGTTTTGCAACAGTGGTGGCCAGATGCTGGAACAATGACGACGGGCTGCTGGAACCTACGAACACACGAGCTTCCGACGGTGACCACACCCGGCAGGGGTGCTGAAACCGGCAGGAGCCTAGTGCTGTGTCGGTTGTGATCTACGTGATGTTGGAAGCGGTGGCCTAGATGTTGGTATCGACCTCGCGAGGTGCTTTCTTCGTGAGATGTTGTGCCATGCTTTTTTGCAAGAACAGCGTCGTGAGATGATGGGACCGACTTCGTGAGATGCTCGAAACGGCATCGTGAGATGCTATGGGCGCCTTCGACCAAAAGTGCAACCGGCAACGGTGAGTGCTGCGAGCGGCCTCGCCGGTGATATGATCCATGCTACCAACATCGATGAGTTGTATTGTGATGAGTGCACCAGAATGCTACATATGGAAGGCTACGCGCAATGCGCCCAACGATGAGCGGTAGCGCACGCAGACGAAGGCGAGCTGTGACTCATGCGGCCAAGCTCCTACAACGGTGATAACGACTCAAGGCGAAGCATTACTCGATGGTGTTGATGGCCATCGGGGAGGCCGCGAAGCTCGAGCTCCCGCCCCTATCCATCCGCTACCGGCGGAGGGCGAACTACTTGTCATCGGGAGCGGAGTTGGATTCCTCCTTAAGGAATGCCTCCTAGTCAACGGTTCTAACTTGTTTTTCGATCCGCTGCTCGAGTTGGCCATGGTTGCGCTGGGAGGGGAATGTTTTGGAGAGGGGGCGGGACGGGTAGCGGAGCGGTCAAGAGTGCGGATTGTGGACTAGGGTTTGGTTTGGGTGGGGTATATGTCGGGTTGAACTGGGCCGGCCTAGGACGGTTCGACGTGGAGGCAGCGTCCGGACTGCACCATATTCGCCCCATATATGGATTGGGTTTGGGGGTGCCGGACGACCCGGACATTTAAAGCATCTATAACCGGACCTCTCAATTCGTCCCTAAACATCTGTGCGGACAACTCGGACACTACCTGGACCGAAAAAAGTCACCCAACCGAACCCCTCATAGCCTGCCCAAACGTCTGGGTTGTTCGACACCCACCAAACACAGCCCATAGGTGGGGTGGATATGGAGGGGCCGGACTGGACGCGCCCACCACATGGCCCAGACTGGCCCAGTCCGACCACACATATACACCACCCCAGACCAAACCCAGTCCATAGTCCACACTCTTGACTGCTCTGCTCCACTGCCTGTCTCCTCCCCTCCCCGTCCCTTTCCCTACCAGTGTCACCAAGGCCAACTCCTGCAGCGGATCCGACAATGAGACCGACCCCATCGACTAGGAGGCGCTCCTCAAGGAGGAATCTAGCTCCACCCCGAACAACGAGGAACTCGCCCTTGACATTCCTCACAGCCTCCCTAGTGGCCCATCGGGGCACTTGCAACTATGTGTCTGCCCGCGCCCGCCATCGTCGTTCACGTCATCCTCGGTCAGGCGGCGTGATGACCAACGACACCTAGCACCTCCAGCCCTGCTCCTCCCGACAACGCTAGTTCACGTTCCTGCATAGCCGAGTCAGTGGCCATGACTTCATCATTCGGAGGCGCGGGTTGCTCGCCACGCGAGGTAGAAGGTACGCATGCCGGATCTAGCATGTTCGACCACGGGTCGTGCAGATCCGCGACCAAGCCGCTTCCGCCTGCCGACTCCGAAGACGACCTCCTCTATGACATCATCTGCTGGTCCTTCACCTCGGCGGAAGCGAACGCTTGCCGCCAGCACAAAAATGCCAAGGTATTGCGGCTCGGCATCGAAAAGTCCAAGCGGCTAGCCCGACAGAGGGCGGTCAACCAGGCGAAGGCTCGGCGCCTCGCCAAGGAGGAGGCCGCACCGCCGGGCGTCTGGCCCGGCTCCTCTGCTCATCTTTATCCTCCAACAACATCAGCACCACTACCGACGAGGACGACACCCCTCCAACCACCGACGCCTATACTGCGGAGTACTACCGCCGCTCCGGAGACCGCAAGGGGAAGGGATTGGCGAGGAAGTGGTGAAGCCGGGCGCCCCCTCTCTCTATCTTATACTCCCTCTGTCCCAAAATAAGTGCCTCAATGTTAGTACAACTTTGTACTAAAGTTAGTACAAAATTGAGACAGTTATTTTGAGGCGGAGGAAGTATATCATATGATGAACTTTTTGAATTTGCTATGTTGTGTCCTGTTGAACTTGCTAATCTTTTGTGAGCTTCGCATGCTATGGCAAACATGCAATATCTGATCTATGTTATGTTCAATTTATCTATGTGCTATTTTAATCACGTTGCAAGGTTGCATGGATTTGGGGTTTCGGATATTTAGGGGGCGGCTCTGATGCGCCAAATGAGGGGTGACCAAGCACTGTTAGGGATGCGTCCGCGGACGTTTTCATATTTTAATTGAACACTTTCCATTTATGATATGATTAAAGGAGAAGATTGCTTATCTACCAAACATATGCAGATCAAATCACGTCTTATAATAAGAAGAAATCTTTCTTGGTATCAATCCACTTACCCCTCAATCATTGAGAATCAGAAGAATCCTTTTCGAGTTTCCAATTTTTTTTATTTAAAGTCTGGGTTCTTCTATCTTTGACTTATTTTCTTGGCTTCATATACAGAGGGTTAAATTAGGACATCGCGGTTGTAGATGCTCTGAAGTAGGCTAGTAAGAATCTTCTACCGGGTTTATATATGAAACAAAAGTTCCAACCCAACTGTTTCAGAATTTAGAATTTCAATGCAAACAAAACAAGGTTTCTTCAACAGACCGAAAGTATATCAAACAGAAGCAAGGTAATTAGGACTGTGCAGTGATGAATTGAGGGCAAGGTAATTATATAGAAGTGTTTAAGTGAAGTACTGAACATGAAAAAACGTAATGAACTTCTCACGGAGGTCAAATCTTGATTCCGATCGAACAAGGCACCAAAAAACGCAATAAAGTTTCCAAGAACGTAAAATCTTTCTTGATTGCTGCCAACAAACAAGAAAACTCGATCTGAACAAGAAAAATACTAAAGGTTGAGTTGTTGATTACCAATGGGCAAGGAAATTACAAGTTCAGAATTACACTAACTTCAGACTTTCTTGCTTGCCTAACCAACAAGCAAGACGATTACAGAAAATTCGGAGTTCTCTTGATACCAAGATCCACAGCTCTCCCGTTACAATGGCGTGCAAACTTTCTTGATCACCCCATCATGCACAACTCTACCATCACAAGTCAAATCCCACTACGAAATTCCCCACGATCAACAAAAAGTAAGATGAAAGAACAACCAAGTCAAGGCAAGAAGACCAGAATGAATCTACATCCGGTAGGCCTGCAGCGGCATTACGTCGAACACCACCCTCGCCGCCGGCCAGATCCTCAGCTCGGTCAGCGGGTCGCCTGCTCCGCAGGACATGTCACTCGGCGCCGCAGTGCCGGCATCGCCCCTGATATCCCCGGGCACCAGAGGGAACAGCTCGAGGCACTCACTCGCCGCCGCACATGTCTCAGCCTCCGGCACGACCTCCGTCGAACGAGAGGACATCCTGACATCCCCGCTCGCCAGAGGAAACAACGGCAGGCACCCCGGCGTGACCTCGGGGCTGGCGGCCTTTCGGTCGGCAGAAGGAGCCAACGGGCGCGGGGGTCCCTGCAGGGTGGGCGCGCGCTTGTGGAGGACGGAGTTCCAGCGGTTCTTGATGGCGTTGTCGGTGCGGCCGGAGAGGAACTCGGCGATGGTGGACCAGCGGTTGCCGTAGGCGGCCTGGTACTTGACAATGAGCATGTCCTCCTCGACGGTGAAGGGCTTGACGGCCTCCACCCCCCTGGGGTCGAGGTGCTGGCACCAGCGGAGGCGGCACGACTTGGAGTTGCGGCCGGGCAGAGCTCGGCAGATGGAGTCCCAGTTGTGCGGGCCGCCGCACCGACGGACCTGCTCCCGCAGCAGGTCGTCCTCTCTCTTGGTCCACATCTTCTTGGCTGCGTGCGGCAAGCCGTCGTCGCAGGCGCCGGCGTCGGAGCCTGACGTGGCCGGGAAGGACGACGGCGGCATCACCATCCCGCTAGCTTGAATCGCCTCCGATTGATGGTTTGTTGCGAGATGGAGATGTTGCGTGCGTGCGGTGGCGAGAGGCCGGAAGAGAAGGTGGACGCGGTTGTGTGGAGGCCGCGGCCGCGTGACTACTTATATAGATGGACGTGGTGTACTCAAAAAAAAAATATAGATGGACGTGGTTAAACCGAGTCCGAGCAGGAGTCCAAACTGCGTTTTTTCTTATTCTTTGGACGTCGATAACGGCCGAACGTACGGCCTCGTGGCTCGCCAGATCGAACAATTTGTTCGGTGATGACGGGGTGGGCAGCGAACGAACAAATTCGTCCGGGATGACAGGACTCCCAGCCCGAACGCCCTCCCCCACCCAGCATAGCTTCCGTACTGGGTCGTCCTTATTATGACTAAAACAAAGAAAATAAAGCCTAGTACGGCCCAGTTTGTACTACGAATAAAAAAAACGAGAATGCTAAATTCCTGCCGACTGGCAGTTTGCAACAGATCCGAACAGTTCGTTCACCGTTGGATTTGCATCGAACGTCCCATGCAAGTTTCATCTCGCATCTTTTTTTTGGCTACCCACGCATGTCTAGGAGGCAGTTTCCTTTTTTCCGGCCACCATTCCCGCGAGGGAGTTTCCTTATTTTTCGGCGCGGGAGTTTCCTTTTTTTGGCCATCATTCCCGCGAGGGAGTTTTCTTTTTTTCCGGCCATCAATCCCTCGCACAAGTTTCCTTTTTTGGGTCCCTCGATCTGGTTCAATTTCTCGCAAGAAAGATGGAGAGCTTGGAGTCGAACCTCATACCCCTATAGGTTAGTTATGAACTCAAAAACCATTTGGGCTGGCTCGGCTTTGACGACAAATCTAGTTTTCTTTTCTTTTGTACCTTCACATATCCAGCCAAAAAATAACAAAGAAAGGAACGTCGGGTAAATAGCATGGTGCATATGATTCGTACCTGGGGTCCCTACCTAACTAAGTTGATGTCCATTAACCATCTCAAACTAAGTAGACTGTTTGTGTGAACTAAGCTCATTTTGTCTTCGGATTGAAAATATTATGGATCCGGCAAAAAAATTCTTAAAAACAAAACCCCGGTAAATTCTATGTAAATAGCATATACACCATGCACCTGATATTTTACACAAAAATACCGCAGTAACTTTGATCGAGCAAAAAAGTTGTTAAAAAGATAAAAAAAATACCCTTCAATAACTTATGTGTAAATAACATGATAACATAAGCCCCGTTGACCTGATAACTTATGTGCATCACCATGGTACCATTGACACAAGGAAAAATTGTTGAAAACATCCTATGATAACTACTATGTAAATAGCATGGTAATTTATGCCCCTCGTCACCTCGAGAAAGCTATTTTATAGTCGACTGGAAATTTGCTAATACATCTGAACGATTCGGTATCCGGCCGATCGGCATCTCATGGTCGGAAGCGGCTCCCCTGACGTGCGGCTCCTGCCGTTGTGGCGCTGCCATGTGGGCCTGTTCCCCGATGGGTCCATCAGTCAGTGGTCGAACGGCACCCTGCCGAACGGCAGAGGATCCTCGTCCCTCATGGTCACGATCGAGCGAGTAAACTACTCCTTCCGCACGTCCCGCGTGCGAGAAAATCAGGGTCCCCGGGTCCCCACGTCACCCATGCAGCGTTGCACGTTCTACGCCCGAGGAACGGCTTGATAACTTATGTGTCATAGACGTGATAATTTACATAGTACACACCTGGTATTGACCTGGAAAAAAATTATCAAAACATATCAGCATGTGATCTAGTTTCAAAGGTCTCGTCGCGACGAATCTTTATGTGAAGACAGTTTCTTAATCCCATGGACAGTTTGAGCTACAAAACATTTTAAATTTTCAGTTTTGAAAAGAATCTAGGCTGACATCATTATTTTTTTATGCATGCATGCGGTTAGCTGCTAATTAAACTAACTATTAGTGGACAGTGAACACACACATAAAAAGAAAACGATATGAGCTATGTCGGAAGTTAGCACTACCCTTATGTGAATAGCATGGTAACTCACATATCGCATACCTGATAACTTATGTACCTCGGTCCTAATAACTTTCGCATGGGGGGAGGGGGAGAGGGGGTTGATGAAATATCCCCTCAGTAACTTTTGTGTGAATAGCATGGTAACTCACA